TCTCCTCAAAGTATTTCAAAATATTCAAGAAGAAGTAAGGCTTCCAAACTGATTTTATGAGGCCAGCATAATTCAAATTCCAAAAGACACTACACAGAAAGAAAACTACAGGCCAATGTCCCCGATAAAGGCCAAAATCCTGAACAAAATACTAGCAAATCGGATCCAGCAATACATCCAAAAAAATTATTCATCATGACGAAGTGGGATTCATCTCAGAGATGCAAGGTTGGTACAATATTTGCAAATCAATGAATATGATACACCACATAAATAAAATGAAGAATAAAAAACACATAATCATATCAATAGATGCTGAAAAAGCATTCGACAAAATCCAGCATCCATTTCTGATTAAAACGCTCAGCAATGTGGGAATGGAGAGATCATATCTTGACATAATAAAGGCCATATATGAAAGACCTACAGCCAACATCATACTCAATGGGCAGAAACTAAAACATATCCCTTAAGACTAGGAACAAGATAGGGATGCCCACTTTTGCCACTCTTATTTAGCATAGTACTGAAAGTCAAAGCCACAGCAATCAGACAGGAAGAAAAAATAAAAGGGATCTAAATTGGAAAGGAGGAAGTAAAACTGTCATTATTTGCAGATGACATAATATTATACATAGAAAACACTAAGGATTCCATCAAAAATCTACTAGACTTAATAAATGAATTTGGCAAGGAAGCAGGATACAAAATTAACGTCAAGAAATCAACAGCATTCTCATACATCAATGATGAACTCACAGAATGAAAAAACAATCCCATTTACCATCGTGAAAAAAAAAATTAAGATACCTAGGAAGAAACTTAATTAAACAAGTGAAGGACCTATTTTCAGAAAACTACAGGACATTGAAAAAAGAAATAGAGGAAGATATAAAAAAGTTGAAGCACATACCTTGTTCATGAATTGGAAGAATTAACATCATTAAAGTGTCCATATTGCCCAAAGCAATCTATAGATTCAATGCAATCCCCATCAAAATACCAATGACATATTTCACAGAAATAGAAAAAATACTTCAAAAGTTTATATGGAACCAAAAAAGACCTTGTATAGCAACAACAATCTTCAAAAGGAAGAACAAAGTAGCTGGAATCACAATACCAGATATCAAGATATACTACAAAGCTACTATAATCATAGAGCCTGGTACTGGTATAAAAACAGGCATATAGACCAGTGGAACAGAACAGAGAACCCAGAAATGAACCCAAGACAATATGCTCAATTAATATTTGACAAAAGTGGCAAGAACATGCAGTGGAGTAAAGACAGCCTCTTTAATAAAAGGTATTGGGAAAATTGGACAGCTACATGCAAAAAAAAAAAAAAATGAAACTAGATAATCAACTTACAGCATACACAAAAATAAACTCAAAATGGATAAAAAACTTAAATGTGTCCCCTGAATCCATAAAAATTCTAGAAGAAGATGTAGGCAACAAAATTTCAGACATCATACGGAGAATTTTCACTGATACATCACCGAAGGCAACAGAAACAAAGCAGAAAAGGACAAATACCACATGATCTCACTTATTTGTGGAACAAAAGAGAAAATGAATACGTGGGACTACATCAAACTCAAAAACTTCTGCAAGGAAAAGAAACAACCATCAAAATGGAAAGTCAACCCACTGTATGGGAGAGCATCATTGCCAATGATACATCAGATAAGGGTTTAATTTCCAAAATATATAGAGTACTCATACAACTCACCAAAATAAGACAAAGAATTCAATTAAAAAATGGGGCAGAGGAGATGAATAGACACATCTCCAAACAGGACATACAAATGGCCAAGAAATATATGAAGAAATGCTCAATATCACTATTCATCAGAGAGATGCAAATTAAAACAACAATGAGGTATCACCTCACACCTGTCAGAATGGCTGCTGTAAACAAATTATCAAATAACAAGTGCTGGCAAGGTTGTGGAGAAAAGGAGACTCTAATACACTGCTGGTGGGAATGCAGACTGGTGCAGCCACTATGGAAAACAATATGGTGTTACCTCAAAAAATTAAAAATTGAACTTCCATTTGACCAAGCGATCCCGCTTCTAGGAATATACCCTAAGAAGCCTGAAACACCAATCAGAAAGAATATATGTACCCCCATGTATATAGCAGCATTATTTATAGTAGGTAAAATCTGGAAATAGCCTAAGTGCCCATCAGTAGACGAATGGATTAAAAAGATGTGGTACATACACACAATGGAGTACTAAGCAGCTGTAAGAAAGAAACATCTCTTATCCTTTGAGACGACATGGAGGGACCTGGAAAGTATGATCCTAAGTGAAACAAGTCAAGCAGAAAAAGACAAATACCACATGATCTCATTTATTTGTGGAATATAATGAACATAATAGTCGGAGGAATGGAGTAGTTCCAGAGACATGCAAGTGGGGTACAGACTGACAATCCCCAGAAGAGGGGGTGGTGGGGGAGAGAGAAACCACAGAACTTATATGCATGTATGCATGAACAGTGGACATGGACAACAAAGCTGGGGAGAGGGCAGAGAGGGAGGGGGAGGGGGGAGTCACTGGGGGGAAAAAAGGAGAAACATCTGTAATAAAAAATAAAGAAATAACTTTAGAATTACAGAAGGCCATGTAAATGCATATCTGACTCTTTTCCTAATTGTTTTAAAGGCAATTGTATAAAACAATAGGCATAACATGTATTGTTGGGTTTTTTTGGTACGTGCCCCCAGTGGGAACTGAACCTGTGACTCTCTGGTCCACAGGCCAATGCTCCAACCACTGAACCAAACCGGCCAGGGCATAACATCTATTGTTGAGACTCACATACAGACATATGGTATATTTCACAAAAGCAGCATAAAGGAGATGGTGAGGACAAAGGATGAAGTAGAGTAAGAAAATGACACTAGACCATCAGGAAGCAAGTAAAAGAACCAGATTGTAAATCAGAAGTTTATGTAACAAACACTCTAGCCCTGGCCAGTTTTGCTCAGCGGTTAAAGCGTCGGCCTGCGGTCCGGAGAGACCCGGGTTCGGTTCCCGCTAAGGGCACATACTTCGGTTGCAGTTTGTCCCCGGCCCTGGTTGGTCGTGCGGGTGGCAGCCACTCGATGTGTCCCTTCACGTCAATGTTTCTCTCTCTCTCTCTCTTCCTCTCTTACCCTCCCACTCTATCCGTACAAAAAATGGAAAAATATCCTCGGGTGAGGATAAAAAAAAAAAAAAACACTCTAAATATGTTCTTCCTCAAACTTTGTCTCTCAGCTTTCTTAATATTTGTAGCTTAATTTAGAAATAATTATAGCAGCATTTTTAGCAATGACTTTATATTCATACATGTAATGTAATACAGTAGCAGAAAAATGGGGAAGTGGGAATAAAACTGTATGAATCACATTTGTATATGTTCCTGGAATTAATTTAATATCAATCTGAAGCATATATGAAAGGGTGGTTATGCTGATTGTTGCACAACTTTGAACTATTAATAACCATTGAATAGTCATTTAATGTGGGAATATTGTATAATACTATGTTATATGTTTTTTAAAATAAATAGCTTTGGTAACTTCAAGAAGGATGAGATTTTTTAAAAGATTTAAATCAATGGTAGGATTTTGTGGAAAAAGAAAACTGTGCCTCCTTATAGATTATAGTTTTCCCCACCACTTACCCTTTTTGCTGACAGCATTAAAACCAATCTTGTCTCAGGAGAAATTCTCTTTGCCTTTCTGATTGTCTAAGAATTTTTTGCTCTCTCAATGCAAATGAATCAACTCTTCTAGTGGTATTTGTTGGAGGAAGACCAAGGACTAAATTAAGTCTGCTTAGGATCTCCATCATGTGTTACAGCAACTAATGTTACTTTCACAAAAGTCATAAATCAGGTTGTAAAGTTGTGATGCCTAATCCATTGTGTCCTGGGATTTGCTAGTGAGGCCCTGTCTGGATTTCACCTCTGCTTAGATTGCTGTGGTGGTATGTTTGTACTGCCATGTATTCATGGGCTCAGTCATTTCACCAAAGCAAGGCTTCCCCAGTAAGTTGTCTATATTAAGGCAAGTTTTCATCTCAGTTACATTTGGCATTGAAATCAATTTTATTTCTTCTTGCCCAGAAAACTTTAGTAAGTGACATAGAGTAACCAATATAATTATTCTTTCTACAAGATGCATTTAAAATTTTTTTCTTTATATTTTTTTTGTCATTGGGCCTAGTAGTTTGGAAGTAGTTTCCAAATCCAGCAAAATGTGAAAATTTTCTAAAGACAGAAATGGAAAAGGACACAATACCTATGCTCACATCACTGCAAATTACCCATTTTCCCCTTCCCACCTTAAATACCTACATGCTTATAAGACTTGACAACGCACTTTGACTCTCTCCATATATAACCTTTATTCTTTAACAACACTAAAATCTAATTGTTTTGTACTTCCATAACAAAAAAAAAGAAGATGAGGGCATTGATATATTTCTGGTGAAGTCTAAGAATCTATGACCCACAGTAGGGATCTGTGACTATGATGACCATAGTTTACAATCTGACCTGGGGAAACTTATTTCCCCCACCCCAATGTTTTTCCTTATGTACATTGGAAATCTATGTTATTAACATTAGCTCTCTAGGATGATTTAAATTTTCAAAAGGATTTTTAAGTTATGACAAAAGTTCTAGTTAAGAAATTATGAAACAGTTTTTTATTGAATTATGTCATTAGCTGGATAGATATGTTATCCTCACGAAATCACTAAACATGTATAAGCCTCAACACAATGAGACTTTGTGATCACTAATGGCTCTAATAATTCTAAGGTGTTTATTTCTGAAAGACAGGTATTTCATTATAATTCTTTTCCTCTGATATAAAAGTAATTAGAAGAGTAGTAAACAAAAACACACATAGACTCACAACACATACATATCAACACACATATGTTAATATTTACCATACAAAACTAATTTGAAACTACTTATTTCTACAGATACTGATATTGAACACTTACTGGGCCCTTTTGGAAGAGGTTTAATAAAGGGGGAAGTCAAAATACAATCAAAGACTCATGCTGGTAAGAACAAGAATATTATGAGTCTAATTATGGTGTATTTATCTTCTCAGAAGTTTATTTAAGTTTCAACCTTCAATGGCCACGGTACCAATATTCTATTATTATGTGATATAATTTTTATAAGCTTTTCCAATAATTAGTAAAACTTTAACATCAGTGGAAAATTAGCCATGCAATATATGTTTTAGAACTCATCTATTTAAGTTGATCCACAAAAATCCAATCTTTGTGAACTTGGAATATGATTGTTGGAAAATTTTTAAATGTATTACACTCACTTTCTTTATTAGACCCAATTGGATAGTACTTTTGTATTTGCAAATTCAGAAAAGCTACCTCTAGAATGGGTTTAGAGAGGAAATTTATAAAATAGATATTCATTTGTTATTAATTCCCCCCATGTGATTAAACTATTAAACAAATTTCTAACATCTCAGGTGAATTAGTGTCCTTTACGGTTGTTTTTTTTTTAAATATACAGTTTATTGTATAGACTACTGCTTCTTGTCCTTGCATTCAGTACTTAAGACACTTCATCACGATGTTTGATATGATACTACAGGAAGCAGCCAGGTAACAGGACGATTAAGGGAGGAGACAGTAAAAGAGAGGCTTTCAAAACAACTGTCATCCATAGGTGATGATTTTCATGCCCCCATTCTCTACCTTCTCAAGAAAAACACTAGGAGCTTGAAACTGCAGGGAAGCGGACGTGACTAATATAAGAAAGAGTCCAGCTTCATCAATATCAAGGTACAGAATGACAAAGAGCCTCCAAAGGAAAAAGGAAATCAGTCCCAAGATTTGCTACAATACATTGCCTAAAATGTCCTGTCTTTACCACAAAATATATAAGACATTCAATGAAACGGCAAGTGTGAACTATACGCAAGAGAAAAGCAGACCACAAAACTCTTTTTGTGTATTCCAGTTGTAGGTTGTTATATAACTTTTTTTTTTGTTTGATATTTCGAGGGTTTTTTTAAATTAATTTTTATTACAGATGTTTCTCCCCCCCCCCTCACTGTTTCCCTACTCCCCCTCCCTCCCTGCCCTGTCCCCAGCTTTGTTGTCCATGTCCATTGTTCATGCATACATGCATATAAGTTCTGTGGTTTATCTCTCCCTCACCATCCCCTCTTCTGGGGATTGTCAGTCTGTACCCTACTTTCACATCTCTGGGACTACCCAATTCCTCAGACTGTTATGTTCATTATATTCCACAAATAAGTGAGATCATATGATACTTGTCTTTCTCTGTTTGGCTTGTTTCACTTAGGATGATACTTTCCAGGTCCGTCCAAGTAGTCTCAAAGGATAAGAGATCTTTCTTTCTTACAGCTGCATAGTACTCCATTGTGTATATGTACCACAGCTTTTTTATCCATTCGTCTACTGACGTACACTTGTGCTGTTTCGAGATCTTAGCTATTATAAATAGTGCTGCTACAAACATGGGGGTACATATATTCTTTCTGATTGGTGTTTCAGGCTTCTTAGGGTATATTCCTAGAAGTGGGATCGCTGGGTCAAATAGAAGTTCAATTTTTAATTTTTTGAGGTAACATCATATTGTTTTCCATAGTGGCTGCACCAGTCTGCATTCCCATCAGCAGTGTACTAGAGTCCCCTTTTCTCAAAAACCTCACCAACACTTGTTGTTTGATGATTTGTGGATGGCGGCCATTCTGACAGGTGTGAGGTGATACCTCATTATTGTTTTAATTTGCATCTCTCTGATGATTAGTGATGTTGAGCATTTCTTCATATGTCTCTTAGCCGTTTGTATGTTCTGCTTGGAGAGGTGTCTATTTAGTTCCTCTGCCCATTGTTTAATTGGGTTCTTTGTCTTCCTTTTGTTGAGTTGTATTAGCACTCTATATATATTGGAAATTAACCCCTTATCTGATATATCATTGGCAATTATGCTCTCCCATACAGTGGGTAGCCTTTCCGTTTTCATGATTGTATCTTTTGCTGTGCAGAAGCTTTTGAGTTTGATGTAGTCCCATGTGTTCATTTTTTCCTTTGTTTCTGTTGCCTTAGGTAATGTATCAGTGAAAATTCTGCTGCGTATGATGTCTGAAATTTTGTTGCCTACAGTTTCTTCTAGGATTTTTATGGATTCACGAGTCATATTTAAGTCTTTTATCCATTTTGAGTTTATTCTTGTGTAGGGTGTGAGTTGATGGTCTAGTTTCATTTTTCTGCATGTATCTGTCCAATTTTCCCAACACCATTTATTAAAGAGGCTATCCTTATTCCACTGTATGCTCTTGCCACCTTTGTCAAATATTAATTGAGCATATTGCCTTGGGTTCATTTCTGAGTTCTCTGTTCTGTTCCACTGGTCTATATGCCTGTTCTTGTGCCAGTGCCAGGCTGTTTTGATTACAGTTCTTTTGTAGTATAACCTGAAATCTGGTAATTCCTCCAACTTTGTTCTTCTTTTTCAAGATTGCTGTGGATATTCGAGGTCTTTTTTGGTTCCATGTGAACTTTTGAAGTACTTGTTCTAATTCTGTGAAGTATCTCGTTGGTATTTTGATGGGGATTGCATTGAATCTATAGATTGCTTTGGGTACTATGGACATTTTAATGATGTTAATTCTTCCAATCCATGAACAGGGTATATGCGTCCACATTTTTATATCTTCCTCTATTTATTTTTTCAATGACCTGTAGTTTTTAGCAAATAGGTCCTTTATTTCTTTGGTTAAGATTATTCCTAGGTATCTTAATTTTTTTGCCGCAATGGTAGATGGGATTGTTTTCTTAGTTTGTCTTTCTGTGAGTTCATCATTGGTGTATAAGAATGCCATCGAGCCCTGGTTGGTTTGTCTCAGCGGTTAGAGCGTCTGCCTGCAGACCAGAGAGTCCTGGGTTTGGTTCCCACTAAGGGCATGTACCTCGGTTGTGGTTTGTCCCTGGCCCCGGTGGGGCCCTGTGGGTGGCAGCCACTCTAGGGGTCTCTCTCATGTCGTTGTTTCTCTCTCTCTCTTCCCCCCTCTCTTCCTCCTGCTCTATCTGAAGGTAAGTGCAAAAAGGTCCTCTGATATTTTAATAAGAATGCCATCGATTTCTTGACGTTAATTTTTATCCTATTATTTTACCAAATTCATTTATTAAGTGTAGTAGGTTTTTGATAAAGTCTTTGGGGTTTTCTATGTATAGTATCATGTCATCTGCAAATAATGACAGTTTCACTTCCTCCTTTGCAATTTGGATCCCTTTTATTTTTTCTTCTTGTCTGATTGCTGTGGCTAAGACTTCCAGAACTATGTTAAATAAGAGTGGCAAAAGTGGGCATCCTTGCTTTGTTCCTCTTCTTAAGGGAAATGCTTTCAGTATTTGCCCATTGACTATGATGTTGGCTGTAGGTCTTTCATATTTGGTCTTTAGTAGGTCTAGATATGATCCCTCTATTCCAACATTGCTGAGTGTTTTTATTAGAAATGGATGCTGGATTTTTTCAAAGGCTTTTTCGGCATCTATTGATATGATCATGTGGTTTTTATTCTTCATTTTATATGTGGTGTATCACGTTTACTGATTTGCATATATTGTACCAACCTTGCATCCCTGGGATGAATCCCATTTGGCTATGGTGAATAATTTTTTTGGATGTATTGCTGGATCCAATTTGCTAGTATTTTGTTCAGGATTTTGGCGTCCATGTTCATCAGGGATATTGACCTGTAGTTTCTTTCCCTGTAGTGTCTTTTTCTGGTTTTAGAATTAGAATTATGCTGGCTACATAAAACGAGTTTGGAAGTCTTCCTTCTTCTTGAATTTCTTGAAATACTTTGAGGAGAATGGGTGTTAGTTCTTCTTTGGATGTTCGGTAAAACTCACCCGTGAAGCCATCCGGGTTTGGGCTTATGTTTGGTGGGAGAGTCTTGATTACATCTTCAATTTCTTCTGTTGTTATTGGTCTGTTCAAGTTTTCTCTTTCTTCCTGGTCCAGTTTTGGGAGACTATGTGTTTCTAGAAATTTGTCCATGTCGCTTAGATTGTCAAATTTGTTGCCATATAATTGTTCATAGTAGTTGTTAACGATTTTTTGTATTTCTGTGTGTCAGTTGGTACTTCTCTTTCATTTCTGATTGTGTATATTTGGGTTCTCTCTCTTTGTTTCTTGGTGAGTCTGGCTAAGGGTCTATCAATCTTGTTTATTTTTTTGAAAAACCAGCTCTTTGTTTCATTGATCCTTTGCATTGTTTTTTTTGGTCTCTATATCATTTATTTCTGCTCTGATCTTTACAATTACCTTCCTTCTACTTGCTCTGGGGTTTTCTTTTTGTTTGTTCTCTAGTTCTTTAAGTTGTGAGGTTACATAGTCTATTAGAGATTTTTCTTGTTTTTTGAGGTAGGCCTGTAGTGCTTGCTATGAACTTCTCTCTCAGACTTCTTTTGCTGCATCCCAAAGATTTTGTGTTGCTGTGTCTTTATTTTCATTGTATTCAAGGAAGTTTTTAATTTTTTCCTTGATCTCCTCGGTAACCATTCATTGTTTAATAACATGGTATTTAGCTTCTATGTGTTCAAATGTCTTTGCATGTTCTTTTTGCAATTGATTTCTTGTTTCTTGCCATTGGGATCTGAGAAGATGCTTGATATGATTTCACTCTTCTTGAACTTGTAGAGACTTAGTTTGTGCCCTAACATGTGGTCTATCTTTAAGAATGTCCCATGTGCACTTGAGAAGAATGTGAATTCTGTATTTTGGGGGCATAATTCTCTGTAGATATCTATTAAAACCATTTGGTCTAGTGCTTCATTTAGAGTCTCTGTTTTCTTGCCAATTTTTGTCTAGAGGATCTATGCAGTGATGTCAGCAGGGTGTTGAAGTCCCCTGCTATGATTGTATTGCTATAGATTGCTCCTTTGAAGTCCTCCAGAAGATTTTTAATATATTTTGTGGCTCCTATATTGGGTGCATTTATGTTTATTAAGGTTATATCATCCTGTTGGATAGATCCTTTCAATATTATGTAGTG